TTTTGGCAATAATAAAAAAAAATTAATCCTAATTTTTTTGTGAATTATTGATTTTATGATTTTATGGAACATAGTTAATTTATGAATTAAGAATAAATAAAATAAATATTAAAAGAATTAAATTAAATAAAAGAAATAAGAAAAGAATGATGGGCCTGCTAACAATTATGGGGGTATGCTTGTTGAAATTCTGAGCCCAAATGATCCAAGCCCATTTGACTTTGCTGGATCTGGTGTGTAGGTTGACTTGAGGCGCATGGTAGTCCTTCAGGCTGGAATGCGTACACCTGGCTGACTGCTGCATCCACTGGTTAATTATTGAAGGTGCATGGTAGGCGTGTGAAAGAGATTTGCACTGAATCTGTGGAAGGAAAAGAAAATAAAGAAAGTTGTCTGGACCTGGGATCGAACCCAGGTCCTTATGCATATTTCCAATGCACGCTTGCCAACTGAGCTGCTTGACTTGTTTGTACATATAATGAAAACAAAATATAATATATGAAAAATAATGGTTAATGGAAAAACGCGCTAAAATTCAAACCACCCAACCAGGGGGTGCCACGCATCGTCTTCTTCGCCAAATTGTCGTTTTAGGTAAACAAGCTTTTACCTACGGACGTTTCGTTGTAGGTACAGACCTGTGCATCTCAAAAGTTATCCACAAGCAAGATAAATAACCATGGCTGGTACCAATCAACTCGTCTCATCCTCACGAGTATCATGGTACCAGAATCAACGTCCAATTTAGCCTATACTGTAAAGCCCTAAACAAGAAAACAAAACCCTAGCCATGGCAGTTTCACATACAGTCATCAAAAATGCAATTGAATAGAATGATTAGCTTGCAAACTCTATGATGAACAAGAATATATAATCAAAACGTGTGTATGATGAGTAAATCAATGAAATCGAAAACGAGTTTTTTAGGCAAATCGTGTGACTGCTATGGGTCGATTCTAGGCACGAGGAGGCTTGCAATTGATCCAGTTAGCTTCAGAGACGCTCCAGGATGCGATTAGGAGTGTTGGAAAGCTTTGAATCTTCCTTTAGGGTAGAGATCAGATCACCACTTTTCTACCAAAAATTGAGTTTTTTTTCTTGGCTATGCACCACTGTTAACTCTTGTTCTTGCCTTGGACACGTTCAATATATAACCCTGAATGAATTAGGGTTATAAAAACTACATGTATCTTTGAAAACTTTGAAGATTTGATCTCATTCCTTCCTTGTATGATTTATTTCCAAATTAGGCCTAATCATGTTCTTTTTGTTCCAATTACCATTGATATGAATTGATCATGCAAGCTCATCAAATCTTGGTTGCTAACCTGTCAAAAAACCCAATCAAATCAAATATTTGCTAATTTCCATCATTTATTTGATTTAATTAACCTTTTAATTAATAAAAAATCAAAATAAATTGAAAAATGAAGCAAACAATTGGTGGATAAGAATTTGAGTCGTGGACCACATCATAAGCAAGATTCAATCATGAAAAACTAGGCCCATTTGACAAAAAATGCAAATTTGAGCACATTTGTCTTTTGGTAATTTTGCAAAAAAAGGTCAACTTGGCCAATTCATAACTTTCTCAATTTTGACGCTAGAGAGGTGTTCTTTGGCTTTTTAGAAAGCTTAGGATGTCCTCTAAGTAACCCTTTTGGTCTAATCTCAATTGAGTCTTCCATGTTCATGTATGAAGTTTTAACCTAAAAGGTGTTTTTGTTGACTTTTCAAAATGACCTATAATGTCAAAATTCATATCTTTTTGTGAGTGCATATTCTGAGCTTGGGAGCTGAAGATGAATTGTAGGTAATTGCATCCTATTCAAAATGAGCTTTAGATGGGTCATTTCTAATAAAGTATGAGAAAGTTATGCATGGTCAAAGTTGAGTTGCTTTTCCTACAAAACCCTAATTTAGCAACTTTTGGGTTTTGATGAATTGTGAGCAATCCTTGATGAATCATGATCAACCCTTGATAAAATGATTAATGATACTTCAAAATGAGGATGCTGACCAAAAATATTTAAGTTTGACTGTATGTGGGCCACAGTTGGCTTTTGACCTAGCACAGTCGATTTTTAGGCATTTGAGCAATTGACTGAGCAAACTTCTTCTGCAAGGCTTGAAACTTGACATGGGTGATCTTGGGAACATATTGGGACAATGGTGAGCATTTGGGATCCTTTAGACTCAAGCACCTTGATGAAAAATGATACCCTAATTTGAGGTTGACTGCCTTAGGAGAGAGTTTGTCTGGTCAACTTTTGAACTTCCTTGAGCAATTTGGGGACCTCACTTGACATGTACTAAGAAATATGGGAGGGCAAATTTTGGGGTACAACACCTTCGCATGAGCTTCGGAGCACAATAGTAAATCTAGCATAGAAATCTTTGAAGGGGTCTGCCCTAGCTGTTCGACTATATTGTAGTCCCTTCTCTTTATAATTTTCAGAATTTCTTCCATCTCTTTCTTGGAAGTCTCTAGGATAGATATTTAATGTGCCTTCATCTGGACAGGCTCAACCAAAATGTATTTTCCCCGAGTCTTGGTTGACTCGATGATAGGGGTGTCAACAGGGGTAATCATAGGAATTGTAGTAGTAATATCAGCAGGAACAAAAGCAGGAATGATCACAGGACCGATAACAGCTTTCGGAGGAGCAATCTCATAGGAGAACACTCTTCCACTTCTGGTTATTTTTCTGGTTCCCACAATGTTACCAATGTCGGGGTCAACCTTCTCAAAATACAGGATCTTCAACAGCCAGCCATTCTTGCTTGACGTCGTGGTAGTAGACGTCACCCCCATAGTTCTAAGGAACAATTTTGTCTGAGGAGTACGGGATTGGCCCTGGCATAATAATTATCAGTGGAGTCACCTTCAGAACAGATGTAATCCTAACAGGTCTTTTGGTGGAGACCCTGGGAGGATTGGCGGAAATGGTTATTATTGAAACATCCTTGTAAGAAATGGCTGGAACGGGAGTCTTTTCAAACAAAATCTCTTTGTCATACATCAGGCACTGGACACCTGCCTTTAATAAATGACAACCAGTCGGTAGAGATAAACAGAGGTGGCAGTCTTCTCCACAGCCCGGAAATAAACCGGCCTTTAACAGGTTCCTTTTGACGGTTAGGAGGGTAGTAACAAGTTCATCAACAACAGTAACAAACACATCATCTTCAACAGCGTTAACACCACGGTCGTGCTTGGGCATCGGAGCGGTGATAACATTTGGGATCTCAGGAGCGTCAAATTCAATTTCCTCTGCCTAGAGAAGGTCTTGCACCTTGTTTTTCAAAGCCCAACAGTCGTTTGTATCATGACCTGGACTTTCTGAATGGTAAGCACAACGAGCATTTGGGTTATAACGGGGAGAGGCAATATTGGGATTCTTCAGAGCTTCCCGCAAGGTTACCAGATTAGATTTCAACAAATGTGGCAAGACTTGAGACGTCGTCATATTTATCCAGGTAAACTGTCTTACCGGCCTTTCCGTTCTAGACTAATTGTTCCTTTATTGAGTAGGTGTAGGTTTAGAGATCATGACAGCCCCTACCGCTGGACGGCGTTCAGTTCTGTTCTGATTCCTATGGTCATATACAACACTGACCTCATTCTTTCCGGTAAAGGGCTTCTTTATCGCACTCGAGGATGCATCTCTTTGAATTTTGCCACTTTTTATACCCGTTTCTACCCGTTCACCAATCATGATTAATTTGGTAAACCCGATCGAGGAGCTTCCGATCAAGTGTTTGAAGAATGGACCAGATAGCGTGCCTAAGAACATATCCACCAATTCTCTGTCAGATAGAGGGGGTTGGACCCTTCCCGCGAGATCTCGCCATTTTTTGAGCATAGGTTTTGAAACCTTCACCTGTACCCATAGACATGCCTTGGAACTGTGTCCGTGTTGGAGCTAAGTCAGCATTATACTGGTATTGCTTGTAAAAAGCGGCCGCCAAATCTTCCCAATTGCGGATGTTGGTCCCTTCCAACTCGTAGAACCAATCCAACTGCGTCCCTGACAAGCTTTATTGGAAGAAATGCACCCATAGATTCCTATATGTGGTATGGGGTTGAATTTTCCTGACGTATGATCTCAAATGCAGCTTTGGACAAGAGACACTGTCATATTTAGCGAAAGTGAGGACCTTGAATTTCTATGGTATGACAACCCCTGAGACAAGTCCTAGCTCCTCAAAATCCAACCCGGGTACCTTCTGGATCTCCATAGCATTGAGGCGATCTTCCAACTATTTGTATTTGTTGTCAGCTGGAGGATACTGCTCTTCAGAGTAGTCAACCTCTTCTTCCTCTTCAGATTCTGGAGGGTCAGTCACTTCCTTGTTTTTCCCTTCTTGATTATCCCTTTCACCCGATGATGTTACGAAGTCTAGAGTCCGTATGGCTGATCCTTTGAACCTTCTTCCCAGATTCAAAAAACCGATTGATCTCTTCGCTTTCTTCTTCTTTTCTTTGATCAGCAGAGTTTTCAACTCATCTTGTCCTTTTGCCAGAGTCAAGAACATTTGTTGAAATTGGGCGTTCTGCGCCTGGAGATCTTTTACTGTCTGTTCAATATCCATCTCACTAAAATAAACAGTAGAAAGATAAGGAGACCTGTTGTAAGAAACCTGTTTGTGTTATGATGAATGAAGATGCATATGCAAATGATTTCAAGGAAATTAGAGATTTAAATTTGATTAGACAAAAAGGAAACACACATTATATTAATAAATCCAAGTTCGAGTACATCATGCCTCTTTGGGTTTACAATGGAAGAAATAAAATACAAAAACTCCTAAGATAAAAAGGTCGAACACATCCTCTTTGGTGCGATGTAGGCGTTCAAACTCCGCTCTTCATGAAGCTTCTTGGTGAGTTCCAGAACTTTCTTCTCGCTGGCGTAGAATTGGGCTTCGAAAGTGTCTCGCTCTTCCTTAAGCTGTATTCAATCCCTTTGTAAGTCTTTGAGAGAGGTGGGCATGTTATGATGAAGTACAGTGTATGGGACATCTCCTTCAACAATAGGCTCTATGATAACTGGGAGAATGGATGGGTAAGGCATTGCGAGACTCTGAGCGCGAGCCCGTACCCACCTAAGGTAAGGCTCAAGGGGAATGGAACTCTTGTGCCCAAATGTCCTACTGTCCACCTTGCTTACCATCCTCCAGGCTCGTATGAACCTCCAACGGTAGTCTTGATTGTCACTTTCATAGTTGAACACTACACCTTGGATGAGTGTGTCATGTGGACCATCTCTTCATGCGTACCCAAACTGTCACAGATCTAAGCAAGGGTTATAAGTGATGCCTCCCCTAATGCCAAGCAAAGGAACATTAGGGAATTCCCCACAACGATCGTTGATAGTAATATCCTCTAAGGATCGAGAACACCAGTAGATATCTGAATGCCAGAGTGACATCAGCCTGTTGGACCACGTCAAACCTTGCTCATTCTTCACAATGGTTCGGGAAAGATGCGAAACAAACCATTTAGCCAACAAAGGAGTACAACACATGAGGGTTCCTCTTCTCCTCATGGTGCGAGTGTGGAGAGAATGCAAGATATCTCCCAACAAAGTAGGCACCGGATTATGAGATAAAAAGATTTTGACAGCATTCACAACTATAAGTTGGTCAGAATTTGGAAATAGTACCAACCCATAGATGAGAAGAGCCAAAATTTCTTCGAAAGCTTGTAAATCCAGGTTGTTCCAACAATCTTGAGCTTTTCTAGTAAGAACTTGGCTAAGAATCCTTTGACACCACTTCTTGTTTCCCAATTAGCCGTGACGTTGGATTGTTGCAAGTGTAAAGCTCGGGAAACCTCTTCAGGGCTTGGGTCTCTTTCGGTACTGTTGAAAGGTATTTGATCGAGGATAGGAATTCCCAAGAGCTGAGAGAACTCTTCCATAGTTGGTACAGGCTGGTTATCGGGGAAGGTAAAGTAATGGTGCAACGGGTCAAAGAACTGGAAAAGCACCTTCATCATGTCTTCATCAAAGCTCGAGGACCAAGTTGAGAAGTCGTTCATGCCTTTTGGTGAACAGAGAATTCTCAGGGACCCTTGACGCTAAATCCTTGAGCTGAAAAGGTACTCGTACAAGGTTGACTTGGATTGTGTTCTTGCAAGTGAGAGTCATATCCTACAAAACAGAACAAAGATGAATCTCAAAATCCTTGAAATGGTTAGTCTAAAATGCTATGGCATGATGTCATGATGTTATGTACAAGCACATGCACAAGTTAAATCAAACCAATCCTTAGGCTTAGGCTTGTATGAGGTTTTATAGGTAAGTACCCTCTTGAAGTTCGGTTGGCTCAACCTGTCCTAGTGATAGTAACCGGGTTCTAAGGGATCTCAATATCAATAATTTGTCTTCTCTGGCATTGTTTGAGCACAAGCCTCTTTCATGGCGACCGAAATATCCCAAAAAACCAAACCTCAATGAGTGTAGTATCGAGTATCTACCAACTTCGTACTGCACTAGAGTCGATCATCTCACTACGTCCTAATATCCAAGTTGGTCAAGTAAAGGTTCTAAAAGTCAGTTAGTGCTTCATGACATAACTCAGCGACCCCGTATTCTCCTTGACTACTCAAGGGCTACCGGTACCCACAAATATGTCGCACTAACGTAGCTATTACTTAGACCATGTTGGTATACCCCGTACAGTTTCCATAATGTATTGCTACTTACCTATAAGATATCCCAAATCCAGGTAGAGGATTTAAGCCCAAACAAAGAACCAAAATGTAAAGCTTACAAGTCAAACAAAGAAAGCATGTAAAGGTGATCTAGCCCTAAGGTAACCCCACAATTTCATTATTCCCCAGCAAAATCGCTAGTTCTATGATACGGTGGGAGAACTAACTTGGGTGTTTTGTGTTTTATCGCAAATGTTACGGTTAGCAAGAGTCGCCACCGACTTTTCTTTTATCCAGAAGGAAAGGCTAAAAAGAATAGGAAATACCTTTGAGATTATTTCTGAGTTCGGGGGGTAGATTATGAAAAGGGAAGGTATTAACACCCTTTCCATCTGTAGTTATCTACGGGCTCTTAGCTGCTTGTTAGATCACTTGCTTTTTTTTTTAAATATGCTTTGTGTGGATTTTAAAAGTATTTTGAAAAGGCGTCACCGTTTAGGCAAACTTTGTAATAGTTCTCGTTCGTAAGAACGTACACAGAGTGTTGAGCTTTTGAAAATATTTCATGTTTGGAAAAGGTTTTGAAAGTGTTGGTGTTTGTTTTGGAAATAAGCAAGAGTGTTTGATTTGAAAAATGAGAAAGCAAATAGGAACAATCTACCTACTCAAAAGTCTTAGTTCATTTCTTCCTTTCCTTTGATATTGATATCTTACCATTGATTTGGTAAGAAGCCTTATCTTCGGATGTAAAGGGATGGGCGTGGGACATTTGTATAGTCATAGAAGGCAACATATGGGACATTTTAGCATTGTCGTTTAGGGACTAGATCGTTTATTGAAGGCAACATCGAGGTTCATCGAGGGACTACAATCTTTTATTGAGGGTCTTTGCTAAAATGCCCATGTTCGAGGGACATGACTATTTTTCCGAGGCAACAAGTGAGATTACCCTAAGGGTGCATGTGTGAAAAGTGTGTTTGATTGCATGCATTTTGTATTTGATTTTTGGGTTGTCTACTTATTAGTTTTATCTTGTCATACACACCTAATTACTAGCATTTAAGGAAAACAGTAAATTGCGGAAATTAAAATTCTACGCTATTACATCATTAGGGGGATGGGGATACAGTTTTAAAATAGGGATGAAATTGGTATCTAATTATTACAACCATATTGAATAAGTGGGCAGTAATGGAGTATATATATAATACAGAAACAGTGTAAAAAGAAGGAAAAACTGCATTTTGAACTATTATGTGTCGAAACATGCTGTTATGCATCGACACATAGTTTTTCCTTGCCCATTCTAAACTAAATCAACTCGGTATGAGTCGACGCATAATGGGATGTGTTGACGCATTCCCTGCTTGTGTCGACACATACACGTTTTGTGTCGACTTATGCACCTTCCATCTTTCTGTTTTAGGCCCTGGGTAGCAGTATGAATCGATGCATACAGCCATGTGTCGACTCATACCCTGCTTTTTCACTTAGAATGAGTCGACCCATGTGGGTATGCGTCAACCCATGTTAAAGTTTTTGCCTCTATCACTATTCTTTTGCATGTATCAGTCAGTTTTTTTTAACATATAGATGATAAAAAATGAACAGTAAGGAAATGATTAACTTCGAGAGTAGTGATTAATTCATCTTATCTTCAGAAATAAACCAAAAATGATGTATGGAAAATGCAAGGTTGAGATGACTTACCTTGTAACTGCGCTTTAAGTTTCGAGTCCGGAACCCTTCAAGATGCTGTGTGGAACTTTAATGAAATGCCAGGAAGCTTCTAGACTTCCCTTTGTGTTGAAGGTTGTTGAACCAACTCCAAACAATCAAGTTTATGTAGTACTGTCTTTTGTTTAGAAGTTGAGAATAAGAGCACTACAGAAACTATTCTTGAGCTTGAGCAGGATCTATCTGATATGAAATGTTTTTAGGATTTATGGGAGGATTTGCAAGGTTGTATAATAGTGGGTTGTGGATCTTTTCTGTTTTGATGAGTCCAAACAGAGTTGAATATGAACAGAGCTTTTATGGATGAACTGGGTTTTATGAATGAGCTGGTTTTAATAAAAAATATGTTTTTTCTTTTCTCTCTTTTTCCCTCTTCAAAATCCCCCCTTTATCTTATGAATCAGTCCCTTTTGTAGCCCCTTGACTGAGGTTTAGGAGGGAAACAAAATAAGTTGTTTTGAACTATTTTTGCCTACTGCTTTGATGGTTTTTCCACACAATTTTCTTTTGCCCTTTTGGTGCAATTTTATGGCTGTTATGATGCAGGTTTGAGCAGACTGCATAGAGCAGTTTTTGACTGGTTTTTTAGACTGTATAGAACAGCATTGGTTTTTTAGACTGTATAGAACAGCATATACAGGTTTTGTGACAGGTTTGTGGTGTAGCATAGCACAAGGTTTTGTAGGACAGCAAATGAACAAGTTTTTGGAGTGTTGTGGCAATGCATAGAAGTAGCATATTATTTTTTGTTCAGCAATAACTTGGACAACATAGTTTGCAGCATGAAAAAGTTTGGTTTGTGGAGCAATTTATGCACATTGTATCAAAGACAAAGCATTGTGGCAAGGTTTTGAGTCAAAGGAAAAAGTCCAAGTAATACAAAGTTTAGGATTTGTAAACTTGTAGAAATGCCACTTTGTAATAACTTGAATTATTTGTAACATCTTGAACTATTTTTAATTGTAGTGACAAGATGTCATGAAGCAATAAACTTAAATTAGAAAGATTTCCAAGTCTTGCAAAAGTTAGATTTTTGACTTTCTTGATTTTTGATGATCAAATTTCATATTTTGGATGTCTTGATGAAATATGATTTTTGGGACTCAACTTTGGTCAAAAAGTCAAAGTTTGACTTTTTTAGTGTACAGTTGACTTTTCCCACCAATTGACCGAATTTTGTCTATCAATCCACTGATCTCAGGAGATGAATTGAAAAATGCAATTAGGTCAAAAATGAAGCGCTAGGATCCTTGTGATCATACTTCCAACCAATAACCCAGGTATTAGGTCAAAAATCATAGTTCGGTAATTTTTAATAAAAACCCTAATTTCGGCCATTTGCCCTTTTGGTACTTTGAATGATTTTCGTGGAAAATTGTGATCCAAGACTTGAAACTTGACAAAATTAATCCTGAGGGTCCATAATGATCCATGAAAGTCAATTGAAACATTATGAATCCCATAGCCTTTGTACAAAACTCAAACCCTAATTTGAGGTATCAGTGTTGAGGAAATTGTTTGAACTAGTCGATGCTTGCATAAATTTGAGGCATTGAAGATCTTTGTAGGAAATCTCTTAAGAAATGAGAGGGCAAATTTTGGGGTACAACATTAACGATTCTAATATTATCTCTTATGACTTTGATAATCTGATCTACCAAGCCGAGGAAGAAGTTGAGTAAGATTGTGAAATACCTAGAGAACTTGTCAGACTCGTAATACAAGAAGAAAAGGTTATCCAACCACATGAAGAGTCGGTCAAAGTTGTAAACTTGAGTATTGAGATAGACAGAAAAGAAGTCAAGATATGCTCCAACCTAGAGAGCAGTGTGAAGAACAACTTAATCTAGATGTTGCATGAATATGTTGAAATCTTCGATTGGTCATACAAAGACATGCCAAGGCTCGACACTGATATTGTGGTTCTCCGATTAAGCATAAGGCTTGTCGCATGCATCCTGAAATATCAGAAAAGATAAAAGTTGAGGTTATGAAACAATTCAACGCAGGGTTCTTAGCAGTGACGTCATATCCTCAATAGGTTGTTAATGTTGTTCTGGTGCCAAAGAAAGATGGCAAGGTGCGTATGTGCATAGATTACAGGGATCTGAACAGGGAAATCCCCATAGATGACTTCCTTATACCATATATTGATGTTTTGGCTGACAATGCCGCTCAACACAAGGTATTATCTTTCATGGATGGTTTCTTGGTTTATAATCAGATCAAGATAGCACATGAAGACATGGAGAAAACTACCTTAGTCACGCAGTAGGGCACTTTTTGCTACAAGGTTATGCCTTTTGGGTTGAAGAACGTCGGGGCAACTTATCAGCATGCCATGGTAGCTTTATTTCATGACATGATTCACCATGAAATGGAGGTCTACGTCGATGATATGATAGCAAGGTCACATACTGAAGAAGAGCATCTTGATCATCTGCATAAATTATTTGAAAGACTGAAGAAGTACAAGCTAAGGTTAAACCCGAACAAGTGCACCTTTCCGGTGAGATCCGGTAAACTCTTGAGTTTCGTCGTTAGCGGTAAAGGTATTGAGGTTAATCCTACAAAAGTTAAAGCTATTCAAGAAATATCAATTCCCTGTACCGAGAAGGAAGTCAGAGGTTTCTTAGGATGACTGAATT